AAAAACTTGTTAAGAAAGAGCCATCTACAAGACGGATATTTGAATCAACATGTATTTTTTGATGGTTTCAAATTTTGAATTATCCGAAATTCAGGGAAGGAGATAGAATTTGTTGAGAAATATATGCATTTAAAACACAGGTTAAAATTTAATATTATTTTATTGATGACTACTTGTATTATCAGCTTAATGATTTGAACGTCTTTAAAAAATAATATTATTATATTCAATATATTTTTAGAAATAGTGGGATTTCTTTTATAAGATAGTAAAGTACTATTAGCTTAATGATTTACTATTTTATTTTTATTGTTAATAGTTAGTCCCCACTTTAAAGTACCTGGTCCCCATTATCACCCAACATTTATTTCTCTCTTTTCTGTTTTTCTCTCTTTTTTGACCTAGCGACCAATTGCAAGAACTCAAGAAGCCCAACAATATAAACCATTAGCACAAATAACTGAACAACTGAACAAATCATCGGAATCTGGCACAACCACCGTCATCAAAAATTTAGCACAAACGCACATCACAACACCGATATCGACCTACTAATGCAGTAACGCCAGCCACCGCCTAAGTCTTAACGCCGCTCACCACTGTCTAAATGTTACCATAAAACACCAGACACTATCGTCGCTGTAAAGTTTGTAAGTTAATTCGACCGATTGCTTTTGATTTTGTGTTCCATTTTTAGAATATGTTCCATTTTCAGAATGTGTTCCAATGAAATGGGTTTACTTTTTTTGATGTTTATAAACTATGAACTGATTCAAAATGTTGTGAAGTTATTCGAAAATCATAATGTGTATGAACTAATTCACAATGCTATTTGATACTGTGAAATATGATTTTTATGATTTTTGGTGGTATTAACTTATACAGAATGTTGTACTTTGAAATCAGATTTGTCTAATTTGTGTAATGGTTTTGTATGAATCGATTGAAAATGTTATTAAGAATGTTCTGAAAAAGATATTTAAATAGAAAAATATCAACAGAATGACCATTGATGCATCCTAAGTACCTGTGACGGTATGCAAGAAACCTTTGGAGATGGATTCAACAAATGGATTATCCATAGAGCTGATTAACGCCCTTTTTAGATCTATTATTGACCCACTTAATCAGAATCATGATAGTGTTTGGATAGGAAAAAAAGATGGTGTTTATTGCTTATTGTTTATTCCCACCACAATAAGTTTAAGCTAAATTTAAGTGTTTTGATAGGAATCCTTAAAAATCAGCTTATTGTGGTGGGGATAAGCTAAATAAGCTGATTTTAATAAGCATTCCTCCACTGCTTAAAGCTTATTGCTTATTGTCACCACAAACACTTTTGCAAAAACTATTTTTTCACACCGCAATAAGCTAATAAGCTATAAATTGATTTATCCAAACACCCTCTAAATGGGTATAAAGGGGGGGGGGGGGGGGGGGAGGGGGTTAACTACTTTACGTTTAATAGGCTATGTTCAATTTTCATTTGCTTCTTCTCCATCTTGAATTAGGTTTGTTTAATTTTGAAAGTCCATATCCGATTTCATCTTCCACTTCTTAGCATTCATCAACCATCTTTAGTAAAGTTTTAATGTTATTCAACTTTTTATTACTTGATTTTTTTTTCATTAATTTGTATGTTTTTAATGTTATTACTTGAATTTTTTTTTCATTAACTCGTAGGGTCGATGGTCAACACGGTCAATGGTCAATTGTACACCCCACTTAACTTAGGGATGAGCTTTAGAACCGGATCGGTTCAGAACCGGAACCGGTTTTCCTATATTATAATAACTGGGAACTTGACCGCCAGTTCTAGTACCGGTTCCGGTCCGGTTTTTCGGTTATTTTTCAAAGTAGAACCGGTTGAAATACTATAGATTATATGCTATCTTCCAGAGCTTGTAAATTATTCAATATTTAACCAAATTATGACTTTTAACATTCTAAATTGAAATACAAACACTAAATTACATGATGAAAAAGAATCAAGTAATTTCGACTTCATATGAGTAAGTTATACACATTTTAAAAGCGGGGACAGATTCCAAAAAAATAAAAAATGTTGAAACAGAAAAAACGCAGCATTGATATGTTGTCTTTCGGAATCTATAACTGATTCAATATCTAACCAAAATATGTATTTTTATAGTCTAAAATGAACTACAAACACCAAATTACATGCTGAAAAAAAATTAAGTAATTAGGACGTCATATGAATGAGTTATACACATTTAAAAAATGGGACAGATTTCAAAAAAACAAAAAAAATTGCTGAAATAAAAAAACCATAGCATCGATATGTTTTCTTTCGGAGCATGTTTCGAATTCAATATCTAACCAAAACATATGTTTGTACCGTCAAAAATGAATTACAAATTCCAAATTACATGTTGGAAAAAAAATCAAATAATTCCGACTTCATATGAGTGAATTATGTGCATTTTAAAAAATGAAAAAAAATGTCAAACCGGGACCGGTTTTTATAAAAATGGAGAACCGGTAACCGCCTATTACCAATTCCGGTTCCGGCGGTTCTAATGCTCATCCCTAACTTAACTTCTGGGCTGGATCCACCATTGACAACAAATTAGTGTCTTAGAATGATATAAAGCAAAATCCAATATAAAAGTTTAATATGAAGAGCATACCCAGCAAAATGAATGAATGCTCACATCTCATCATTTTGTATAAAATCAAAAAGGGAAAATGGTGAGCAATTGAAAGAATACTATGATCAACTGAAATATGTCAAACTTACCTCACATCCCATAACAATGAAAATCAAGAACCTAATTACATATGGAAAACATGGAGCCTTATTAGTTAAAACATTTCATCAAACAGGTTGTAGGCATGATCAAAACTCCACAGTTTAAGCTTGTAATCTTTACCTAGTAGATATATAAAAATAGCACACAAACAGAGAGTTTTTGACTTAACATTTCAATTCATAATAGAGTTGAATAATACGGTATGAAATCATAAGGGATGAAAAGATAGAAAATTAGTTAAATGAAAAATGATTGAAGGAAAATATGTACCGTTAAAATTAGAGAGAAACATACCTTTTTAGTATAGACGATGGAATTGCCTGACGTCACTCAATTCATAGCTAAGTGAGCAAAAATTCCAATCATCGTATGTAAAAAAAAAAGGAGAAATTAACAGAAGGTGATGCTGAGAACATCTAATCAAAGTCAGCATAATTATAAATAAGATGTTCTATGTGAGAACTGGATACATACGCTTATTCATCTTCATACTGATATCTTTTTCTTTCTCTTGTCATTAGGGTTTCTTGTTCTTAGTCTCAACCTTATGTTCTTAATTTGTAAATCATGAGGTGTGTAGATTAGGTGGGTGATTTGTAGTGAGGTTCTTTGTATAGAGAAGAATGTTATATGTATCGGGGTTTTGATTTGTAAGTATTCTTGAATACCTTTTGGTTCTTAATAAATAAGAGTTGTTGAAGTTGTATATTCATGTGTTCGTGTTTCTTTTGAAGGAGACCTCGTGGCGACTAGAGTATCATTAGAGGACAATCTTGTTAATCCTTTTACAAATGTGATGTGTAAGATCAAGCACTTCGAGTATGCTAAGAGCATAGAGATGAGAGCTAATATTTGTTTTAGTAGCTACTTGATATCTGAAACAACTGTAACAATGATAAATTGTAATTGATTTTGGTGATAAATAATAATGATTGATTTATGAGTTAGTAAACTACCATCTTCGATTGTTTATTATTTTGTTTCATTTTGCAAGTTTAGAATCCACTTCCTGAGTATTAAGTTACTCAAAATCTCAACAATCGGTCATACTCTTGGGAGTGAGTATACGATTAAACAATGTCATGGTATTGGTTGATGGCTAATGGGGATTATATATGGTATGAAGATGAAACTAACACTCATGAGTACTTAAATTTTGATTTAGGTATTGGAAAACCCACACTTAAAAAGATTACTTCATAGATTCAATCAGGAGTAATTCTAAGAAGATACACTACTAGAAAAACAGCTTTTTACGATGCGAAATTAATGACACACACTGATAGAGGACGCGCATTTGTGGGTGACCTAAAAATTAATGTCAGCTTTCCAAAATTTGAAGGATAGAGGACACACATTTTTGTGCGCCCTAAAATTAGTGTCCAACAAAAAAAAAACACGGAGGGCACCTATCATGAAAAGTGTATCGTGTAAATTTGTAGTTTTATATTTTTTTTTAGAAAGGCGCGTTCTCCGTTGTTTTAATAATCTATGGTGGGAAATGAAATCCCAAAAAATTAAACAGCCGCCTGATTCATCTCCTTCTTCTCCTTCTAAAATCCTCAAACAAAAAACCCTAATAATCCTTTTGAAGCAGTCCTCTTCCTCTACCTCTGCATTCTCTCTCTCTCTCTCTCTCTCTCTCTCTGGAAAACCCTAATCACCCTTCTGGTTTTCTGAACCAGGTTCATCCGCTTGCCTCCGCTCCTATCGGACCACCAGAGTCCCCTACCGGATCGCTAAAACAATAATCACTGATGCACCACTTCACCACCTTTCACTCTCTAAATGTGTGACTGCTCAACGTAACGGCCTTCTAGGGTTCGTTATCCCGCTCCCTTAATGTCTGCGATCAACAATGGAGATGATGGCCACCACTACTACTCCATTACTCACATGTCGATCTGTCTGCATACACATACCACCACAACGTAAAATCGTTTCAAAATACTCTAGCTAAACACGCCCCTTCCTCTATTCTCATTCCATGCTTGTGAACAGCGAAGGCTGAAGCAACGAAAACCTTGTATCTTTGTCTTAATTTTTTCATGGTGGTTGACAAGGTTTTCCTTGTGTATCAATTACCACTATTTTCGCCATCATCTGACCTTCACTTGGTTCTAACGAAAAGGAAAAAAGCGAGGTTTGTGTATTTGTAAACCCGATGTGGAGATTTTTGGGTCCGATTTTTAGGGATTACCATATCACTCATCTCTCCTCTACGCCATGTCGCCGACCCTCGCTCCTCCCGTCAACGATACCCATCTGTCATGCTCCTTCTTGGTTCAGTCCCAAAAGGTACATTCTTTATGTTTCTTCTTTGTTCGTATTTTCACTTCTTGATCAACCGAGAAGAATACAAATCAAAGTAAATTTATTGAACACTGGGAATGGATTGGAACAATTCTTCTTTGAATTATAATAATGAATCAAAATAATCAGATGATTAAAATGAGTATGCTAAATACTTGATAATTGTTTTATGTATATTTACGATGTTTTAGTTAGTAAATATTGAAAATGGTTATATAAGTAATTTGACTTCTACAAACCCTACAACCTCTCAGGTTCAAAATGAAGATGTTGTTGATACTACAGAGAAGCTTAGGGCCCAAAACTTTTCACCTTCTGTTACATCTTTTGCTAGTGATGACATGGCAATGAGACAACGGCCACATCAGAAGAAGTATAAGTTGGGAATTGGCCGAGTTAATGTGTCCCATTCTCATAAACCTGGTAACTGGGAGCACACAAAGGCTACAGATCAAGAAACATGTGACAGTTGGCGAAAAAGGTGTTCTTTCATGAAGGTCAACTTAAGATCTGCAAAGTAAGATATCTACTGTCAGTTACTTATGAGATAGGAAAAATCATAATCTAAATATCTTTTTACATCCTATTTTCAACTGTCATTTACTTCTAGGAGAGGTAGATGATGCATCATACTATTATAAAAATTGCTTGGAGTCTGAGGAGATCATTTGCTTGGATAGGAGAATCACAACTGAAGCTGCAGAAGGACTGCAAAAGGCACATGTAACTAACTACATGCTTCATGTAGCTTTGATGCATGTTTTGCCTTTGAAAATAATTTCCCAAATTGCCCTTGGCAGAAAGTCTCAAATTATCTGAAGCTGGATGCAGAGATTCTTGAACAGAAAACGCATGAGTCAGCAACCAATGCATTGGGAACTATCACCGATGCTTTGTCAATAATCTCCTATTCAGAGATACTACTTAATATGAAAGGAGAGGCTCTTCTCATGGTATGTGAATGTGATTCATAATCTTTGTTAGTTTAATAATTGAAATTGACTGATTTGCCCCTACCTATTACACAGATGGGGAAGAATAAAGAGGTAGTTCAACTGTGTGAGAAAACCCTAGATACATCGGGTACTTAGAATTCAACCAATTTTTTTCACTACTTTCCCTTTACTTTTGAATTTTAACCGATTGTATGATATTTATAAATCAAGGAGGGGAACTTTGGTGGTGAAGATAATGTTAGGGTTACCACCATGAACAAGCATGGGAAGCATGATTTGGATATTCCAGTCATTTTCAACCCAAGAAATGATCTTCCATTTATTAATGTCCCTAAGTTCATCATGTTTTTTAAGTTCACTTCTTTTGGAAAAAACAAAGGATTTGGTAGTGGAAAGAACCCGAGAAGTGAAAACTCTAAAGGAAAAAGTTACTCAGTTATCAAAGGAGAAAGAGCATATCGGGTCCTTACTAAAGAGTGCTTTATCAAGAAGAATGTCATCCGATCTTTCTTCAAAAACCAATGAGTTGTTTAAAGTCACAGAAAACGGATTAAAAGAATCCGGAATTAATTACAAGCTCAATAATCAAACCCACAATGAAACTATTACATAGGATGATGAAATATATAATTTGGTTAGTATATCATCATCATCATTAATTTCACAAAATCTTTTTTTAGCTAAAATAATTATCTTGTATACACAGGCTGGTGCTCTTGAGAACAACATAAAACATCTCATTTTGAGATAATCGAACTCCAGCATACTGTTCATGAACTAAGATATTTTTTTTATTTTTATTTTTGATAGTGACATCATGTCTGATTGTAGCTATAACTTTGGTGTGTTATTTGTAATCAAGGGCAGAGTCAAGTTTACTTAAGGAACATGTTGAAGCTCAAAGGAAGGAGCTTTTGCAAAGGAAACAAGAGGTGGAAGAAGTTGAAGAAAAGGAGAGAATAGCAAATGAAAATTTAAGTATGTTTTCTATAATTGTGTGATTGAGGATCAAAATTTTTAAAAAGTTGATGATATTGTTTTGTGGTGTAGGTTTAAGGGCTTATGATAGATATTGCTGCAGCTGAATAGGAAATTGCTAGAAGGAAAGTAGCAGCACAACAGGAAGCTGCATCAGGGAAACGTGTTGAACATGAGTATGTATCACAAGTATGCTTAAAAAATCTTGATTTGATTATATCATTATGATCTATGACTCAATAAATTGAATATACAAAAAAAAACGTAAAGAATTAGAAGAAGCAAAGCAAGTTGTGATGGAAATTGGAATCAGAGAAGAAGATAAATTTGAAAGAGGAAACAGCAGCTGCTGTAATGGCAGCAAGAGATGCAGTTGAGACATCATTAAAATTAGCAGACACACGGGCTACTCGATTGAGGGAGAGAATTGAAGAGTTGACTAGTCAACTTGAAAAACTTGATACACAAAAAAATTCCACCAATAAAAATAGGCCACGATACGTATGCTGGCCTTGGGAATGGCTCGGGTTGGACCCTGTGGAAGCGGGACCCACTCGCCAGCCGGACATGCATCAGAATGGTGCAAATGAAGTGGAGCTTTCCGAACCTCTTCTCTGAGGGCATTTTTGTCCTTTTGGTTAGTATTTCTTTTTTCTCTATACACTCGAAATGAATAGATTTTATGATTTTTTTTAGTTTACTGTATAGAAGATATGAATTTAGACAATTCATATGATTTTTGGTGATTTTTTTTTCCTTTTGTAAATGAATTTGAATTGAATTTATTGTGGGGTTTATTCTTTTGTGATTTGTTAACGGTGAGATCAAGAGCGAATATCTTTCAGATTGTAAACCTGTCAAGAATCAACAAAGAAAGATTAGAAAAATAGGGTTTTGGAAATAAAAAAGTTTCTCACATTTCTTGTTTTTTGGTGGATTAATAATTCCATTAAAATGTAACATTCCTGATTCCTCAACATTAATTTGTTAAATTTATTATCTGTACTCAAAAATAATACAAACATCATTTATGTCATCATAGGTTGGAAGCTGCAATGCAAAGGTTAACAAATCTTTGCTCAGTGTTGAATGACATTGAGCTTATTTGTGTTCTAAATCATGTCTTTGTGCCCCGTTTCTTCCCTCCGCACGTTCGATAAACCCAAAAACGATCAACAAACGGGGTCCGCAATCGAAGCTGTCTGCAAGATAAACAGAATGTGTATTTGAATGGTACCATAATCCACATGGGAAGAGAAAATTTCAATCAAAAGTGACAAAAAACATTACAAATTGTTGAAGCATGAAAATCCTCCTTTGTTCGGTGTTCCTTCTCTCTCTCTCTCTCTCACTAGTAGTTTTTGTCCCATTATAGGATCCTCCTTTCATTTCCTCCGTATTACAACATTGTACTTTAATTTCTCTTTTTGTTACAACATTGTATTAAATAAAAAAACTACTCAATCATAGCAATGTCTGTTACAAAAGGTTTGATCTCAATGTCTTGTGAACCACTTGTTCATTTTGTAATGCAGATCTTAGTGTTGGAGATGGAGAAGGAGAAGGCTTCAAGTTTTTAGAATTTGGATTATGTTGTAGATTTGGAAACAGAAAAAGATAAGGATGTGTGAAGAGTACCAAATGAAATTGCTGGATGATGATGAATCATTAGAGCTTTTAAGTCAACATGTGTTTGGATCCAAAAGTCTGATGGAAGGTTATGAGGAGCTTGCAAAACAAGTATTGCAGTATTGTGATGGAAATTCATTGGCTCTTTCTGTTTCACCAAACGATAAAGTGATGATGCATCCATTGTTGATGATGCCTTCTTTCTGTTTCACCAAACAATAAATTGATGATGCATCCATTGCTTCAAGAGATGGGGAGAACAATAGTCCATCAAGAAGCACCAAAGGACCCGACAAAATGAAGTAGAGTCTGGTGTAATAAGGATTCTTATGATGTTCTACAAAAAGGAAAGGTGAGATTCATCCTATTTGTATGTTGAAGCTTATATTCCTTTCACACCCTTCTATTTTGGTAGAGATTGCATTTATACACCTGCTTTTTGTATAGGGTTCTAAAACAGTGGAAGGTGTAGCACTTAACATGCAAATGTTAACCCAAGAGAACTACTCATTCAAGATAATACATGTAAAAGAAAGTTGTATGAAGATTCTAAAAGATCATAATCGTTGATTCCTTTTTATATATCTGTGGGTACATTTTTGTATTTACTCTAGAAAAGAACCAAGTAAAGGTATAAATCCATCATTTGGATATTTGACTTGGGTACAAGGTTTTTTCTTCATTTGTCCAACTAATAGACATTTTAGCAATGGTCAAAATATCTCATTATATTGTCCATGTAGAATCACGAGGTTAACTTCCAACCCACATGGAAATTAACAATCTTGCTATTGAAGAAGCTAAATAAACCCTATAAGAAATAGGAAAAGAAGAGAAAGTGAGTATACTTACTCAAGAGATCTAACACCACTAAAATAGAATTTGTACCATTCAATTTTGGTACCTTCTATTAAGTCCATAGTGATTTTCTAAACTTTTAAAAGCAAGGGTGTTGATCATAATAATAACCCAACTTACCGAACTTGTTAAAATTTTGTTCCTTTGACTCACTTCACATTGTTTTACCATGTCATTTATATCCTTTCCCATTCCCACTCAAAATATTTCTGAAGCAATTCATTGATACTTAATTATGAAAGGGTTTGACTTCATGACTTTATGATGGTTTCTTTTTTAATATATATATATATATATATATATATATATATATATATATATATATATATGTTGCTATTGTTTTTTTTAATCAATTCATTTGGTATATTGTAGCAGCTATACAAAGAGCTTTTGGTTGCACAGGAGGAAGCCCATTTGGCTCATTAACAACTTACCTTTTCAATGGTAATAGTTGAGAAATTTTGAATACTAGCAACATACAATAACACTCTTAACATACGACTCATGTAATGCCATGTAGGATGAAGACTCTGAAGCATTGGCAAAGTTATCAATAGACATCCAAGAAATCACATTTGAGATTCAACAATATATATATTATCATATGTATCTTTTTAATAGGAATAGGTCCAAGGGAAACTAATGTTGAATCATCAAATCAAGCAAATGTTGATCTTCTAATGTTGTTCTTTTACATGTGATTGGAATTGGACCTAAAGTTAGTTGCTGATATAGGAATAGTGGGTGCTCTAAATGCAGGAAAAAACATGTTTTTAAGTGTTATTAGTGTTGACATGTAGTGTTGTTTGACATATAATGTTAGGTAACTTGTTTGACATGTGATATTTTTTTGAAATGAATTATCATTCTTATGTATGGCATTTTAGTTTAGATTATGATAATTTCAATCTGTTGTTTAATTTGAAAATTAGTAATTCTATCAAAAATAAATTATTTTTAAAACATTTAAAATTATGACACGCAAATGCGTGTCGTATTCCTTGATGACAGGGACTTCCTTGATACGCATTGTGCGTATCATAAACATGTGCGTCATAAAGTTACGACACGCAAATGCGTGTCGTCTTTCTTTATAACATGGCCTTCCTTGATACGCATTGCGTGTCATAACTGTGCGTCATAAAAGCGTGTCATAAATGCGTGTCGTCTATAGATGACGCGTAAAAGCGTGCCGTCTATCATTATGACAGGGCCTTCCTTGACACGCATTTGCGCTTCGTCTGAACGGTTTACGACGCGCATTGTGCGTCATAAAAGGTTGTTTTTCTAGTAGTGATAATATCTTATATTCTTCAAGCAGAGACGCATAAGTTATAATTTATAATTTTGTTGTGCATTGATATTACATAAATGCAACCATAACTATATGTTATAAAATGTATATACATGTACAACACGATGAGTCAATTATGATTATGTAGCCAAAGTTTATTCGTTCATTTTTCCTAAATAGGAAAAGAGATATCTTGGGCTCCTTAGAGATTTGATGTTGACATTATAGTGTTGGCTCAACCTGGACTAAAATTGATTTGTTCAATTCTACAATCTAATAAGGTCATCATAAATAAAAAACCAGGAAACATAATCTTGAACCATGAGATAGATTCATATCCATGTCTTAGGTTCATATGATATCTTGTAAAAAGAATGAATAACTTATAACTTATCTAAGGGTTCTCTCTAAGAATATGATTCAGAGTTCGACAGTTGCTAAGGAAGCATGCTTCGCTGATTAGATAGGATCTTATGACTAATAGTAGTTGATGACTTATCCAAGTGGGAGAATATGAGAATAATGTCCAATAGCATAACTAATTGGTAAGACTTTAATAACAAGGTCCATTTGAGGTTAACCTCAATGGTCCAAATAGTATGTATATCTATATAACATATATATGTTTTAGGTTTGAGGCATATAATATGATCAGGAAGCAATAACGTTTAATTAAGGTTATTACCCATTTACTTCTCATGTTACCACAAGAACAATCGAGTGAGAGAATGAAAGAGAATGCATAAATGTTGTGAACTGATATGACGGTGCATAATCTTCGGTAACTGTGTTCTACATAATCCGACAACACCAAAGTTAACAAAAAGTGCAGTATTTTGTGAACATGTTAGAAACTTCGTTACATTTTTATGTCGTTTTTTCATTTACGTGAAGTAAATGATTACCACAAGGTTTTATTTAAACAAATGTATATTTCGTATGTATTCTGTGTAGAAATAGTATAATTTAATGATATTATTTGTACTAAAAAACAATAATGGTATTTTTTTTTGAGCATTTTGAAAACTTCATTACTTTTTAAGTCATAACACTAAAATTTAATAACTAGATAATCTGATGGTTACCTAAAAGAGCTGGTTCAATAGTATTTTGTGCATTAAAAAAACAACAGTTTTTTTTGTAAATTTTGAAAACTTTGTTGCCTTTTCAGATCATTTTCTATTGTGAAATTACATGTAATTGGTGCTAAATGACAATAGAAATAAAAAATGATTGTTTATAACCGACTAAATTGCAATAAAGTAGACTATATACATATGATATATAAATTATAAAATTGGGTAACATGCTATATTTCATTTCAAAATAAAATTTATACCAAAATACGGGTATAAGATTCATTGGTTGCACTTGCATCTATCTAATTAATTTGTAATTTGAGTTAGTGCAAAGTTCTTAGGCTTTGTGGTATGGATTGGGCTTGACTACGCGTAGTGCATACGTGGCAAGGCCACTTAGGCATGAACACCGCCCCAGGTGTGCATAGGTGGCATGTGGCGTGGGGCTGGCTATAGACGAAGACGATAGACATGATTGATGCAACATTTTTTACCGTTCCTTTTTCTTTCTTTTGGTATGTCGGAAGTTTGGAGCCTCTCCGATATTTAATGATATTTTGCAGGGTAAAGCACCAAACATGTCGTTCGTTGTGAATAAACATCAATATAATTATAGATATTACTTTGGTGATGAGATATATCCAGAGTACCCTACGTTTGTCAAGTTGTACTCATTTCCGACTGATGAAAAACGAAAATTGTTCAAGTTAGCACAACAATTGGCAAGGAATGATGTGGAAGGGGCGTTTGGGGTCCTTAAACAAAAGTGACACATTATCAAACATCCGGCACGGTCATGGGATAGGGCGAAAGTGACGAAGGTGTTGACTGCTTGTATTATTTTACATAACATGATAATTGAAGAAGAGGATAGGGCTATTTATATGTATAATCCGGAAGATATTCTTAACTCACCTGAAGTAATACAAGTCGGTGACCCTGCATACTTCACACGACTTTTAGAAATACAAAATAGTGAAACACATCATAGTTTACGCTATGATTTGACTGAGCATATATGGCAAAGACAATTCCAATAACATGGTAGCAATAACGACGACGGGGATGACGACAATGATGACGAGGAGGAGGACGACGAGTAATATTTTCTATGTTTTTTAGTAATTTAGGTTTTAAATGATTATGTTTTTTAAGTAATGTAGATTTTAAATTTCTGGTTTTTAAATTAATGTAAAATGCTTTTAATTAATATTTATGTTTTTAGTTTTGTTTAATAATTATTTTTTAACTTATTCTAATATAAAAAAAAATGATGTGGAGTGGTGACCATTTCCAAGAGTTAGTGGGTTGGTAATAGGTTGGTAGTAGAACTACATGGCGATGAGGTGACATCATTTTTTCGATAGGTTGAGTATGACCATACTCCTTAGCCTTATGATAATCTTACTATTTTATGACAGTTTGCTTTGGTTAGCAATATCTTATGTCGATTAGGTGACTAATATGATGATGCTATCATAATGTCAATACTTTTAAGTTTGGTATTTTGGACTAGTAAAGTGTTTAGGAGACACATTTATTTCTTAAGTATTTGAATTTAACTTTATTGACTTGTATTGTTTTTTACAAGTTAATAAATTACATAGTATATATATATATATATATATATATATATATATATATATATATATATATATATATATATATATTATATATATATATATATATATATATATATATATATATATATATATATAAATTTAGCATCATATTCATAAGTTGGGGTTTTTTAATGTTAACGAAGACGAGTGAGGGATATACCAAATTTCTAAATAGGATGAGATTCACTTCCTTGTATCTCAGTATCTATTATGCATGGGAACATGAACAAGGATTGCTACAAGAAAACAATTGAGATACATTGTCATCTCAATAAAGTAATTGTTAACATGGATACTCTAAACAATAAATTTTAAAAAATATTATAACAATGCAACTGTCAATTTTGCCTCCTTCAACCTCCCCCATGCTCGTCTCTACATATAGAAGGTTTTGTGTTCGAGTTCTGATGGTTTCAATTAGGAGTCGGTCATAAAATGGTATATGATGTACTTCGGTGAACTATGTATTGAAAAGAACACAAAAATCCATAATGAAAAAAGTTAATAGCTAAACCTTCAAAAAAAATTAAAAAAATAAAATAAAACAAAAGTAAAATTTGGTTACAGTAACCCTAAATAACAAATGAGAAATCAAATACTCTCTTATTTTTTTTGTCTTCTTACCATCTTACACACACTAAATAGCAAATAAGAAATCAAATACCTTTTTATTTTTTTCTTCTTATCATCTTTCTATATATTTAAGATCATGACATTTATTATATTTAATAAAATTAATAATATTTTTCATCGTTTAAAATTTTAAAAATTATAAGAGGAATGAATATATTTAACTTCTCATAGCAAATACAATCAAAGACATGTACATTTTGGATTTGGGGCTATATTTTATTTTAGACCCAAATTTGGTATCTTGGCCCAAATGCCGAAATCTTAATTAAGCATCTCGCCTTGAAGAAAGAAAGCAACACAGTTCGATCCACGGTGAAGAACCAGGTCCAGGTATCGATTGGGATTTGGGTGTCGTTAAACAAATCGGAGGGAATCTTGTTGCTAGGTTAGCCGTTAATTTCCGATTCCAATTTAGTTCAAATGACCACCCTAAACACCGACCCTGCCGCCGATCAAGAATCGCTAGTCCCGGCAGTTGTTAAAGACAACTTGGTAGCCATTGATGGTGAAGGAGACGATGGAGAAAAAGAGCTGCATGAGCTTTTGTTGCCTAACGTCAATGATCTCCCCCTCTCTCCTCCTTCTGCAATTGAATTCAATTTCGTCACTTACTTCGCTCCTGGTATGTAATTTCACCAACCAATGCCTTTAATTTCGTTAATTTGATTCACGGGTCCTTCTCCTTCCGCCCTAGAAATAACAACCTATGATTCTACAGAGTATAATCTAGTTTTATTTTCATATTCGAATTCAAGAGAAACTTTTTGATACATATAATTACTTCTATCAAATTTGAAGTTAAACGTTAGCTAATTTAATCTGAATGCTCAAATACTCAAATGCGCGTATCAAATTTGAAGTTTTTGACTATAAAGTGTCAAATGTTGATCAAATTACTCTTATCCCTTTTTCTAACATTGTGTTTGGTTACATTCTTGTGTTTTGATTAGATTTTATGAAGCCGGAGCATGATCAATATATTTATCGACATGCAAATGGGTATGAATCTTCAAAATAGATGATAAGATTTGAATTATTGATTCAGAAACTACAACTAACTGAAAGTTGTTTATACTTTATAACATTGACATCAACAGTTTCCCTTTCTTGTTTTCTGAAAAAAAGGTTATGTGTTATTGGATTAGCTTCTGGTCATGTGGCATTCAAGGATGAAGGAGGAATCACTTCAGTGGATTTCAATGTTGGAAAATCTAACAGAAGTGAGATCAAGGTCACTGGGAAACGCAAAAGGGTATATCCGTCATTCAACCTTTTCTCATTCCTTTTTCTAGCTAAGATTTTTCTTAAATCAACTATTTTGGTTTCTTCTTTACAGAATGCACAACATTTCGAGTCCAACACAGCCTTATGTAAAGTATGCACCAACAATGGTTTCTATATTGTGAGGTAACTTAGTTTTATTCATTAAAGATTTAATCTTTTGTGTTGAATCCTGAAATTATTTTTTGGGGATTTTAAAGTGGGAAATTATATTTGACAGATGTTGTATAAAAGGCTCTTTGTTGGAAGTAAATGAGAGGTTAATAAAGCAACCAGAGTTGCTGAATTCATCTGTAAGTTTACTCTATACATTGATAAATCTTTTACATACAAAAAATAAAAAGATAAAAACTTGATTTCAAGATTCTTATTTAAATTCAATCACCTTAATTTTGCTCAAATGCAGGCAGATAGAGAAGGATACATTGCTATTCTTATGCCAAAACCAACCGAATGGATCAAGGCTAAAGATTCATTCATAACCTTAGATGAATACAAGAAGCTTAGACAGTTTTAAGTTTTTAACATTTCCAAATCTTTAACTATTGTACCCTTATGATTCTTTAATAAAGATTAGAATTACAATAAATATGCTTTCTATATGTAACAAATTTGCTACCTTTTTCTTTTTTTATCACTTTTCTTTACAATTTCAAGATTCGTAGCATTTCAATTCTGTGATGTGGGCATTATTTTATCTACTAAGAGTCGCCTTGATCTATTAACATTAAGCAAACATAAGTAAATATGATCTTCAAGCTCTTCCTTTTGTTCCAAGAAGCAACTATCATGAACCCTAAATTCCCTCATCACTTCCTCCAACAAATCAAACTTTCTTCCAACACATTTTCGAGCAATCACCTTTCCAAATTCAACTTCATCATGTAATCTTCCAACAAGCCAACACATTGTATCAAGATCTTTAATCAATGTGTAAATACCTTTTGCTGCAACATCCATTTGTGATCCAACCCTTTTGAGCTCACTTGTTTTGAGCCCTTTTTTAGTCTTGAATAGGCCTAAGAAACACGCGATTAAACCCGGGGATGCTAATGTCACAACTAAACCATGGCATGCGAGAACTATCAGTGTGATGGCTAAAACCGTATATGAAGCTATGAGAGCAAAGCCTCCACATTTTTTCAAACATATGAGAACCTTTCTCTTTCTTGTAATCCTTGTGTGGTTTGTTGTTAACTTGTTTAATAAGAGTTTATGATTGATGTGTATTTTGGGAAACTTTTCTGGGGTGAAATCGGATAAAGGGTTCACCATGGATGAATATGAAGCGAGTTCTTCGTATACTTTTGTGCTACTTGGGACCCTTTGAGCTAGCTTGATGAGCCTTTTGACTTTATGATGGTTGGTGTTGACTTGATTGATGGATTCGAGAAGTTCTTCACATATGATCCATGCTTGTAATCCAGATTCAAAGAAATCAAGGAGTAGATGATGGAGATTGAAGGTTTTGGCAAGTTTGGCTATGGCTTCAGTTTGTGGTTCGAGAAAGATGTCACATAGATGGATGTAATGAGTGTGAATGGATGATGAAGAGGATCCATTATCGAATGTTATGTGGTTTTGAACTTTATCGCAAATATCTAGGTATGATTGTGTTCTAAATGCCTTCATGTATTCCTCGTTAACATCCAATATCTCTTTGCCAAAACTTCCTGGGGATTGTTTAATATTCATGTGTTTACCTGAAAGAAAAATGAAACGTGTCTACTTTAAATAAATGAGAGTTTTGGATCATATGGCGAATAGAACCATGGATTGTGTATTCTTGAAGTTTTATGAAATTAAACACTTGAAAAGAATTAAAGGTCACAAAAGAAAAATTAAAGATTGATGATGATGAAGACATGGAAATTAACATACCTCTGAACCTCATGAAAGAAAACTTAATCCCGGAAAACTTCATATTCTCCGATAGCCTGGGAACATATTTAATTTGGAAATTAAAAGAATTTAAAGCTTGCACTCGAAGGCCATCATTTGTATTTATAAGCTAACAACAAGAAACCAGTTCCTGAGGTGTTAGCTTAATCACACGTTTGCTTCTATCCCACGTTACCCACCACTGGGAGGAGAGAGAGAGAGAGAGAGAGAGAGAGAGAGAGAGAGAGAGAGAGAGAGATAACAAACCTTAACATCATGGGCAAAACGGAGTTTTTAGAAGTTGTCCAACTACAATATATATATATATATATATATATATATATATATATATATATATATATATATATATATATATATATATAACCAATGCACAACTTTTTTCCAAGTGTTTTTATTGATTAGTATGAATTAACTATCAAGACAAGTTTGATATTCAAAGATTCACAGCATCACTATTCATGCTAAATTAGTTTAAAATGTCTAATGATTTGTTATTGTTATTCATTATACATATATGATGTATTAACATGACAAAAATCCATATTCAACTTTATGAATCATCATTGTATAACTTGCATATCTAATTGTGAATATTAGGGATAATTATCGAAGGAAACATGTCCGTTTGATTACAACCACTAATTTTTTTAGCATCTTCCCGAAAAAGTCTCAGTACCATACCAAGAAGAGGGGCACGTGGCTTAACTTGTTATTTTCTTGGATACATATGCAGGTTATTGTCCCTTGGAGAGTTTCTTTTTCTAGAAAAAAAATCTGTTTTTAAGGATAATCCTCTTACAAAAAGACATGTTTTAGTTATGTAATGTTAAAGTCTTACTTTTTTCCGTAAATCATGAATATGATGATGTTAAGGTTCGGTATAAGCATTAATTAAGCAAAGAAAATGAAGCTTGTCCAAAAGTAAACCAACATCTTGGAATGTTGCAAAAAAATATTATCGGATTGTTAAGTACAATGATTATCCTATCCTATCCAATAGGTATACTATAAAGCAATTCAATTAATATTGATTTAAACAAAATACAAGTTTTGGACCCTTTCTCAATAATGTATACAACTCTATCCGAGTTTTCCCACATGAAATAAACTTATACATATAAAATCGATTCACATGTATTTTATACGTGTACGTGAACGTATGTTTATATATAATTCTGTTCCTATGTTTCATCTTAGTGAGAGGTAGCGTAAGATGTAAGCAAACGTGTAAAAGAAACAAACAACTTTCCACCTGTTTTTTTGTTGGCAAGCCTATAAATGCACACGATGGCTTTCAAGTGCAAGCTTTATTAATTTTGTTGAAATCTGTTTGCATGCTCAGCTCCATGCTGAAGAACATGATTGTCCCCAAGTTCAAATTTCCCTTTAAATTCACAAGTAAGTTCCCATACGTAATATGTTTCATCACCATCGTCGACGATTTAATTTATGTGCATCTTGTGTTCGAAAATGCATGTGCATGGTAATTTATACATGTATTACAATTTTGTGTATAGGCTAAATCTACAATACTATAGCAATATTAATTCCTAAAAGTTAGCACTTTAAATAAGCGGAATTTGGTCACCTATTCTTTAATATTTAACATAAACACATACGGGTTTTGATCTACAATTACATAAAGTTTACCATGATTGGCTCTTTCAGGTAGAAACAAGAAACAATTTGCGAGTAGCTTTGTCAGTGAGACGGATGTTAGCAAAGAGTATCTGGAGGCATTTAGGACGAAATCATACATGGAGATTTGCGACAAACTGGAAAGCTACATAGGCTTCGAAAATGAATCATATTCATCTTCATCCTCTATTCGTGATCATTATATTCATCAATGTGACATATTAGCTGAACCACAAAAGGAAGCCATGGCTAACCTAGCCAATACCTATGATATCGATCACTGCCTACTCCTTGAGTACTTCTTCGATGCTGGTTCAGAATCATGGAAGATATGCGAAAAACTTCTGCACTCTATCCATCAAGAAAATGTTAATCGTCTTAGCATCGCAAGGATCATAAAGCTTGCCGAAAACGTTCCAAAAAGTGGTCAACGCACTAGAATATACAAAGAACTCGCTTTGTATTCGTCTTTGGAGAACCCTCTATCGGATTTCAGCCTAGAAATGTTCCCCAAAATCAACAACCACCTTAAACTCTTGCTGAAGAGGTTAACCACAAATCAGGTAAGGTTAAAAAGAAAGCGAGCACTCATCATGTGTATGAAAAAAGCCATGGGTTGTGCTCTTGTAGCTTCGTATACAGTGTTAGTAGTTGCACTGCTTGTTCTTGCATTTCATGGATTGATTGGGATCGTAGTATCTGCAGGGTTGATCTCTTGTTTTTTGGGTTTAACTAGGAAGGCAAACGCAACCAAGAAAGGTCTCAAAACGAGCGAGCTTAAGAGGGTTGGTTTGTTACTGGATGTGGCTGCGAAAGGGATTTACACATTGATCAAGGACTTTGATACAATAGGTTCGCTTGTACGAAAACTACACAATGAAGTCGAATTCGGGAGGACAATGGCTAGTAAATGTGTTGAAAACCTAAAGTCCGATGTGTTGGAGGAAGTACTGATGAGGGAGTTTGGAGTCCATGAGAGTCGCTTCATGGAACAAATGGAAGAACTTAAGGATCATATTTACTTGTGTTTGCTCAATGTTAATAGATCAAGAAGGCTCGTGGTGAAAGAGATAATGCCTGTATTTGCAAAGGTATTTGAAGATCTTTAATTAGAGGATGGTTGATGATGATCGTAATATATACCTGCTCCTCTTATATATAATAAAAAAGTTTGGATTATCTTTTTGATATTGGGCACATTTAATCCCTATAATTTTGAAATACATAGAAAAGGTCCCTGTGAGGGTTTTTTTGTACAGAAATAATCTCTATGTTTAAGATTTCTATATGTTGGTAAGTTTGTACTTTTGGTCCTCTATATAGAAAATAAATTACAAATATTTTCACCCTAACATATAGAAAAGGTTATTATAATGATTTTTTTATAGAAATTATCCAGACGTTTAAAAAAAATATACAATAATAGTCTTTACCTAATAGAAAATTTTCAAATTACTCCCCCCCACCCCGCAATATATTTCAATGTTTAGTCCCTATAATTTTTTGTTTTTGCACACCTTTAGCCACATGATGTTTTGTTTATATACAGGTTTTGTTCATCTAAAAAATATACGACTTTTGTTTATCCTTCAGATTCAAGTTTCATATTTCATCTACATACTGAAAATGTCTTTTTAAGGGTAAAGTTTCCAAATTTATCCGTTAATAGCCTTCCTTAATAGGTTTAACTCAAACCTTAGTTCTTTAAGACCTATATCTTGATAAATAAATTAAAAAAAAAAAAGCCATAATACTACAAACTAAATCATAAAAACTGAGATCTGGACCCTAGACACTATATAAACACGTAAAGTCTTTGACTTTCCTTCCATGCATGGTCTTTAGGGGCTTAAAAGGCCAAAATGACACCTTAAAGCTTGCATGGGGCCTCAATGGCCATAAAGTTTGCACCTTTATGCCATGAAGGCCCTCCATAATTCCAGATCTGATGATATATTCACTTGGGACGTCCATTTCCCAAGGGTCATGCACTTAGACCAAAAACTCGATAAAAGTGAAGATGAAGAGATCTAAGCATACTATAGACAAGATAGGAGCTTTATACCTCTAATGAACCAGAAATGAAACTAGACTTCTGGATCTAGTCTTCTCCAACACTTCCTTGCTCCTTCTTCAAGTTTCTTCTTCTTCAAAACCACAAGAATGCACCAAAAATGGCTCAAAGCTCTCAAAAGTGTATTAGGGTTCTATGGCTAGGGTTTGGGCTGATGGAGGTTGCAAATGAGGCCAACCTTTGGAGGTTAAGGTGTTTAAATAAGGTGTTAAACCCTGAAAATTAGGGTTTCATTCTGGCATCCCTACTCGTCGAGTTGAGTCCCTCAACTCATCGAGTAGAATTTAAGTTCCGCGTCCAAATTTCATTCCTACTCGACGAGTTTGGGGTCTCCAACTCATCAAGTTCATGTATAAAAATGAATAAATTGATTTAAAATACATACCAAGAACCGAGCGTGAAACATCCCAAAGAAATGACCCAATTTTTTTTTTTTTTAATAATTACTAAAAACACCATAATAAAATCATAAGGTAAACTCGTACGACAATATCTCACAACAATAATAAAGTGTTATAAGTGAACTGAATCAAAAATGTATTAGTCACATCTATGAAAAACATAACAACTCCCAGGACAAATGATATTGTGGTGTGTGTGTGCGATGCCATCAACTCGAGCTCTTCCCTTTGCTTGCGGAACTACCTGAAACCAAAACTGAAACTGTAAGCACGAAGCTTAGTGAGCTCCCCCAAACTACCACATACCAAATAATACATATAATCACATACTGGGCCTTGCCCACTGCATCGGACCGAAGTCCGGAAACTGCATCGAACCAAAGTCCGGAACTACCCAGGGCCTTGCCCTCTGCATCGGATCGGGATCTGGAACTATTGAGGCCTTGCCTCCTGCATCGGACCAAAGTCCGTAACTACTGCATCGGACCGAAGTCCGGAACTGACTGCATCGGACAGAAGTCCGGAACATACTGTACATAGCATCACATAAGCATATCAACTAACATGAGTACATATATAGCATACTACATCGGGATGTAACCCGGAACACATAACACCAAATACTGTCCGAGCCACGAAGGCATCAGACATACTAAAATCTGCATCGAACCGAAGTCCGGATACTACTGCTAGTTAAACGGGCCGGCATTGTGGCCTTAGACCCGTTCCTATTGAAGGGAAAACTCACCTCGTGATCTGGCTGCTGAGTGTGTGGCTCCGGGAACTATCTGTTGCTGCTCCGGTATCTCCCCGGCTACAAATCCACAATTACACTCAATCAAATTATTAATAATTGTATTGGGGTAAATGACTCCTTTACCCCTGGCTAAAGTCAACTCTCTTGGTCAAAGTCAACTTTACAGTTGACCTGACTCGCCGAGTTGGGCCGCCAACTCGCCGAGTCCCTACTCTCATTTCTCACCCTACTCGCTGCTACTCGTCGAGTATGGCATCAACTCGACGAGTTCCCTTTCGAATCTAAAACTTCAGGCAATCTGCATCAGACTCGTCGAGCCGTATGAACAACTCGACGAGTTGTTCTTCGAGCTAAGAAGATTGCCTTGGACTCGCCGAGTTGTATGAA